AGGCTCCAGATGTGTACAATAATGGAAGTAAAAGCAGGCGAGGAAGGCTCCTGTCCTCTTCTGCCCTAATAAATTGGGGTAGCATAATCATTGGATTAACCCTACTGCTCTCTAGGTCCTAATTGCTGCACTAAAAGCCAAACAGCCGCTTGCTTCTAGCAGGAAACTTGTAGTTTTCAGTCTGAAGCAGAAAAATGGAGTACTCTGACCTTTGCACCAAGAGCCTTTCAAAGATTCAGTGCAGTCTGCATTCCAAGCAGCTGAGAGGAGGGTTCCCTTGTCCCTGCCTACAGCCTGGTGTCTGGGTTCTAATGCCACTGCTCCAGTTTCATCCTCTGAAGCCTTGTGGGGAGGTTAGTTTTCCTTCTGCATAGTGTTGTAGGGACAGAGCTTTCCACCTTGGTAATGTCCACTAGAGAATGTGTGGGTCAGGGCCTTCCAATGGAGGGAGCAACGAGGGCGCTCAGTAGAACCCTTTTTATCAGCATCATCATCAGACCTGCTCCTGTGCAATACCTGAAACTATTAGTTGGTTCCCTTTTTGTTTTTCTCTTCCATTTCCCTATTTCAATCTGTCCATGCCCTTTTTTAGGTCCTCTCCTTGCTAGGACTAAAACTGATTTGTAAATGCATTAAAGTCCGTTGTTACCACAGTCTCTTCCCGTACATTTGTGTGGCCTTTTAGGTCTGAGATCTGTTCTAGCTGAGCATTCCCCTAGGCTAGCATCTAGATAAAGCCCTCCTTTGCGCAAAGCCAAGGGAAATGTTTATCCACACGCTAGCAATAGCAGTTGGACGGCTGCTGGCACAGATTCAGTCATCAAGTGCGCAATGTTAGTTTTTATTTTACTTAAATATTCCTGGTAAGGTTCCCTGCTGAGGGCATCTACCTAAACAATGTGCCAAGCATTTTAACAAGCATGTAACACAGCTGCAGGCAAGTATGGATAATGTGGAATCGAAAACAGGCTTAATCCTATTCACCTTGCATTCCCTCTGGGAGTGGCAAGTGCTTAGAAATCATGACTGAGCTGTCCAAAAAACAAAATGAAACAAAACAACCCTAACACCACCCTTCACCCCTCCCCCAACTTCTCTCTCTCTCTTTGTTTTTAAAAAAAAAAAAAAAAAAATTAAATGAAGTTGTGAGAGGCAGAAGTACTAGTCTCACCCAGCTGCACCCATTGTTTTTGAGGGGAACTGAGATCTCTGGAAAAACTTGCTTTGTAGTCTGGGCTGGAGTAAAGTTCCTGTGTACTGCCGTGCAGGGCACAGCTCGGTGAACAGCATGCCCTGACATTTGTATTGTGTTCAGAAACTCTGTAGCTGTGCCTGTAGGGCTCAAGTAGGGAATGGTGGAGTCTGCATGCGTAATACATATCCGATCAGATTAATCTGAATTGGGATTAAAATAACCCCTCTTTTTTAAGCCGTTAGTGGTCTGGAAATGCTGTAGAACTGGTGCCCACTCTTTAGCCTTTCCTAAAGCCAGGCTAGTGGTAAGGGAGGAGTGCATGCAGACCAATAAGCAGATTTTTTTTCCTGTCTGGACAGGGACATATTTCTCTGTTCCAGGTTGGCCTGGAAACTGGGACTGGAAGGGCTCTGGGTGGCTGGTGTCCTGACGTGTCTACCTGTCACACTGCAAGCAAAAATGTTGTTTCTGGAGGTGGAGCACAATTCCTTGTGCCTCGGGCCTCGAAGTCACTCCTATGTTAATGTCTATTCTCAGTTGAGCCAGCAGGCCTCCATGTCTCTGCTGACAGGGTGCAGCCTGTTTATGACTTTGTCTGGTGGCAGGATTTTGTTTCGGGCATGGCTGGCTGGTGAATTAAGACGGTCTGCTGCCCCTTCTTGGACAACTGTTTAGAGGAGTGGTGGAGGGGCTGTGACTTAGATCGCACCATGGTACTGGAGGAGGGGAGAAAAAGGCATGCTTTTGCTTGTTGCTTTCTCTTTTTCCCTGAGCACTTGAGCAGGAATCTATTTTTAATCATGAGTTTCCTGCACTGTTGCTCTACTCAGGTATATTCTGTTCTTACAGGAAGTGGAGCAATGGCCTGTGGTTTGGTCTCTTCTTGCTGTCCTGGTGCAGGACAGAACTATGCAAAAGCAACAGTTGTCAGCCAGGAAGGACTCTGCTTTCTATCTGGTTGAAGACTTGCACTTAATTCTGAAGTGTTATTGACAGACCACATGATGGCGAACATCCCCACTTCAGACTGGCTATGCTATAGGTTGCAGAGTACTGCAACTGCTCTGATGGATCCCTTGCCTGACTCTCAGCCTCAAGCTTACACTGCTGTACGATGCATCTGTAACTAGATCCTCTGCCTGATAAAAGCTACAGTGTAAATGGATCTGTGCTGTCAGGATGCTTAATCTGTAGACTGTCTCTCTGGGGGTTAACCTCCATAGCTAGGGGACCCAAACATGTGCATCTGCTAAGTCTCCCAAGTGCTGTTGTAACTAGGTCAGGAGTCGGCCCTATTTCAGCCCTCCTCATCTTCCCTCTCCCCTCTAATCTTTCCCAGACTTGGCTGGCTTTAGTGTTTGGGGAGTGGAGTTGGAGGCTACAGAAAGCCTGGGATTTAGGGACAGAAAGTCCCTACTGGCCTGCCACTGTGGAATTAGGATCTCAGTGCTACAACAAAGGCTTAACATTCCACAGGGAGACTTTTTAAAGACCTCCCACCCCCTCCTCCTTTTGAAGCTTTCATTAGAAACGGGGTCAGTTTCTGTGTCCATTCACAGTGAGTTGGTTTGACGTGAGGACTGTTTTCTTCAGAGCTAGTGCTATGGGGAGTTTAAGTAGCATGGTCATAATCGGCATGAGTTAAGTAAAACAGCTGAATGTTGCCCTAAAACACACAGCTTGATCCCATGTGATGAGATGTGTGGAAAGGCATTTTCCTTAGCAGCTCTCTTCCTGGGCTCTCATAGCACTTTATTTCACAAGGGTTGGATGTACCCAAGTGGCCTTCTCACGCAGCTTGGCAAGATGGAGGAGACACAGGTGGGAAGTGACTGTTTCCCAAAGTTTTGAAGTCTGTTTCTAACTCTGTCCCTAAACGCAGGAGTTCTGTTGTAATGGAAAGCACTCGTGCTTCTCTTCAGTTATTCGGTCTACCCATCCCTTTCTTTTGTCCTGGAAAATCCTCTGATCCTTTTTGTTACAAGAAAAGCTATGGATGCAGCTCTGAGTCTCAAATGTCTCAATCTAAATGCTTCAGTGGAATGTGAAGAGTTTCTCTGTGATCCCATGGAGGCAAATATTGCCTTCTCTTAAGCCCTAGGTTTCTCAAGGAGCTCTATATGTGGAGCAGTTGCACTAGACAACCACTGACTTCAAGGCAGTGCAAGGAGACCTTAGTCTTGCAGTTCTCTACTCCCCAGATCAGTCACTGCATCGCTTCCCCAGGTATGAGGGCAAAGAAATGCCCCAGACTAGGTCTGTTAGCAGTTGAGTTTTAAAGCATTTGTAATGTAAACTAGCTTATTGCATTTTAGACTGGACTAACCGTGACTACGCATGCGGTGGAGAGTTGTGCTTGTTCATGAATTGTGTGACGTATAGCCAAAGAATCAGTATCTTGGTATATACTGTATGTGCCTGCCACAATTGTATTTTCCAGGCTAAATGGCTGGAGGGCCAAGGCATCTTCATCTCTGGACCAGAACCACAGTCTTAATCTGTTGCTCAAGTCTTCCTTGGAATATGCCCAGCTGTACAGTGTACCTGTCTAGCCTTTTTAGCTCTAACTTCACTCATGACTTGGTCCTATTCACATAAGAGATTCCAGACAAGACTGTGCGAGTCCTTCCGCTGTTGGAAAGGAAGTGTAGCAGCATCCTTGTCTTCCAGCTGCTGGATTCAGCAGTTGCTCTTAGTTGGTACTTGAGTTCCTCTAACTGCTAATTTGTGTTGTATACAGCTGTGGCTGTGTGCACCGTTCCGAGATTACTATACGGCACTCCAAAATAATAGCAGTGGGCTTGCTGCCAAGCAGGATAGCATTCTGTGTACAGCACTCCCATGCTAGACGAGTCTTGACAATGTGCTAAACACAAGTCATACTGCTTGAACTACATACCAATATTGTTGAGCACTATAACATTTCTTCTCCCATCTCCCCACCCTGTTTGGATGCTACCATACTGGCATAATTTAATCAGTGTAACTATTTCTGTAGAAGATACAGAATAAGACTCCTTTATACTAGTCCAACAGCAAAACTAGGGGATTGTACTGCTCTGACTTGAATAAAAAGTATTATTCCTTCCCACTTAAATAGTTAAAATGAGGTAGTCTCTGTAGACCAGACCGTAATATTAAAATCTGGACTAGTGCTACCGTAATAGAAAATTGAAGGCCTTTAAGAAGGTCTCATTCCAGATATCCAGGTTTCTTTCCTGCCTTAGAAGGGGTGGAGAGGTGCGTTCACACTGAGGGGGTGGCGGGTGTCTCTTTTTTTTATTATTATTTTTAAAAAGGTAACTGTTTTTGTCCAGTAAACTAACTACAGGGGAAAGGCACCAGACTAGCAGCTCTGAGGACTGAGAACTCTACCCAGCTGCTGGTATTGGTGCCCTACCTCCTGTGATGTGCTCCAGCTCAATTTTTTTTAAATAGGGCAGTGATTCCCAACCAGTGTGCTGTGGCACAGAAGTGTGCCATCAGAAATGAACAAGTGTGCTGCAGAGTTTTGCCATGGCAATGAGCTACAATAGGTATGAGGATGGGGAATGCCTTAACAAGTGTGCCACAAAATTTTTTTATTAATGTAAGTGTGTCTTGGGCTGGAAAAGGTTGGAAAACCCTGAAATAGGGGACCAGTCTCCTAGGACCAAAAGGCTTCAGGCCTGTTCAGTCCTGGGTGATCTCAAGGCTGAAGAGGAAGGAGTAACTGGGAAGTGTATACAATGTGGGTGCTACCTCTGGTGTTCCAAAGCCCATCTGGCATGTCTAACAGTTGACCGGCTCTCTTGTCTCCTCTCAGACACTACCCGAAGCAGTCCTTCACCATGGTGGCCGACACTCCAGAGAATCTGCGCCTAAAGCAGCAGAGTGAGCTTCAGAGCCAGGTAACAGTGCAGCCAGACATGTCTGAGCTAAATTACATCATACTTTGTACTCCATGCCCCCTCCCTTTAATAACTGACTGATAGCCTGAGGGCTGGAAAGCATTGAAAGAGGGGGTTCCTTGTCAGATATCAAGATCGATCTAGGCTGGCAGTGCCTGTGGTCTCCGTAGTTTGACATCCATCTCCAGTGGTCACCAACAGCTGTGTCAGCTGAGAAGCCAGGGTGTCCTGCAGCCTGGTACCCTGTGTCATGTCCCTGACTTTCTTGCTGCAGCATCTTCCATGCTACAAATCCCCCAAC